TGAAGAAAGGGAAAGAAAAGGTACCCAAATAAAAAATGAAGAAGTAAAATTATCTCTGTTTGTAGATGACATATATAGAAGAAACCCTAAGACTCCACACACACACACACACACACACACAAAAACCCTGTTAGAATTAATAAATGAAGTCAGTAAAGTTGCAGGATACAATATCAATACACAAAAATCTGTTGTGTAATGAATAATGAACTATCAGAAAGAGAAATTTAAAAAACAATACCATTTACAATAGCATCAAAAATAATAAGATACCTAGGAATAAATCTATCCAAGGAGATGAAAGGCTTGTATCCTAAAAACAGTAAGACAATGATAAAATAAATTGAAGAAAATATAAATAAATGGAAAGATAGTGTACGGACACGGATTGGAAGAATTAATATTGTTAAAATGTGCATACTACCCAAAGTGATCAATAGATACAATTCATGTCAAGATAGCACTGGCATTTTTCACAGAAGTAGAATAAACACTCCTAAAATTTACATGGAACCACAAAGACTCCCAAAGAGCCAAAGCAATCTTGAGAAAGAAGAGCAATGCTGAAGGCATCATGCTTCCTGATTTCAAACTATATTATAAAGTGATTAAAATGAAAATAATATCATATTGGCAGATCAATAGAATAAAATTAGGAGCCAGAAATAAAGTCACACATATATCCTTAATTAAAATTAGATAATGGTGCCAAGTATACACATGAGGAGACTAGCGTCTTCAGCACAAGCAAAAGAAATGAAACCACAATATTAAACCACTGATGAAAATTAACTCTAGATGACTTAAATATGACTTGAAACTATAGAAGTCCTAGAAGATACATAGGGAAATATCTTCTTGACATTGGTCTTGGCGATGATATTTTTTGGGTGTGACAGCAAAGCATGACAGCAAAAGCTGAAATACATAAAACTATATCAAATGAAAAACTTCTACTCATTAAATCAACACAATGAAAAGGCAACCTATGGAATGGGAGAAAATACTTGCAAACCATAGATCTGAGTGTGTATATATATATATATATATACATATATATATATACACACACACACACATATATATAACTCAATAGCAAAAAAAATCCAATCCAAAAATAAATAAATAAAAAATAAAAATAAATAAAAATGGGCAAAGATCTGAATAGACATTTTTCTGAAGAATACATGCAAATGGCCAATTGGTACTCAAAATCACTAATCATCAGGTATATGCAAATCAAAACCATAATGAACTATCACCTCATACCTGTTAAAATGGCTTTATCAAAAAGACGAGATAACAAGTGTTGGAGAGAATGTGGAAAAAAGAAACTCTTGTATACTTTGAGTGGGAATGTAATTTGTTATAGGCATACGGAAAACAGTATACAAGTTTCTCAAAATGTTAATAGAACTATATGATACAGCAATCCCTTTTCTGGGTATATATCTGAAGGAAAAGAAATCGGTATCTTGAAGAAATATCTGCACCTTCCTGTTCATCATAGCTTTATTCACAATAGTCAACATATAGAAACAACCTAAGTGTCCACTGATGGATAAGGAAGATGTGAGATATATATATATATAATGGAATATTATTCAACCATGAGAAAAAAGAAAATCTTGCTATTTACAACATTGTCGAAACTAGAGGACATTATATTAAATGTAATAAGCCAGGGTTAAAACACTTCATGATTAAACTTGTATATAAAATCAAAAGAGAAAAAAAGAAAAGGTCAAATTCATAGAAGCAGAGAGTAGAATGGTAATTATCAGGGGCTTGCAGATGGGGGGGAATGAGGAAATGCTGGTCCAAGGCTGTAAGCCTTCAGTTACAAGATGAATAATCCTGAAGATCTAATGTACATATAGTTAGTAATATTATGTAATTAGCAATAATGTATTGTACAGCTCAAGTTTCCTAAGAGAGTAAATCTTAAGCATTCCAGCTCCAAAAAAAATAGTATGTGAAGTGATTAATGCGATTTTGAAAATCATTTCCAAATGTATATGTGTACCAAGTCATCTCATTGTACACTTTATATATACAATTTTATCAATTATACTTCAATAAAGTAGGAAGGAAAACCTATAATAGACATACAAAAGATAAGGAGATAAAAATCAAAGTAAATAACTGTAAAACATAATCAAATAGCAAAGGAAGTCATCAAAAGTGGAAGAGATTGAAAAAACAATTGCAAAACAAAAGACAAATAGCCAAGTATGAATAGTGAGTGTTCACTTATCAATAATTCTTTTAAATGTAAATGGATTAAACTTACTATTAAAAGGAATACAGTACCTGAATAAGGAAAAAACAAGAACTCACTTTAGGTTTAAAGACACAATAGGCTAAAAGTGAAGTAATGGAAAAAAGATATTTCCTGTGAATGGCAACCAAAGAATGTTGGAGTGGCTATACTTCTATCAGAAAAAAATTGTCTTTGTCTAAAACTTTCTCTCGAGACAAAGAAGGACATTATGTAATAATAAAAGAGTCAATTCAACAGGAAGATGTAGCAATTTTCACCATATGGGATCCAACATTGGAACTCCTAAATACATAAAGCAAATATTGACAACTCTAAAGAGAAGAAATTGACAGCAATACAATAATATTAGGAGACTTCATTACCCCACTTTGAATAATGGATAGAACACCCACACAGAAATTCAAGAAAGAAGCTCTAGATTGAACAATATAAACAAAATGGACCTAATAGATATATACAGAATTTTCCACCCAACAGTGGAAGTGTACATTTTCCTTGACTGCACGTGATTCTATAAAGTATCTTTCTCAACCATAGTGGAGTAAAACTAGAAATCAGTAACAGCAAAAAGAATGGGAAAATTCACAAATACATGGAAAGAAAACAGCACGCTCTCAAACAATGATTGGGTCAAAGAAGAAAGTGCAAGAGAATTTTTAAAAATATCTTGAGACAAATGAAAACAAAAACACAATGTAATGAAATTTAGAGATGCTGCAAAAACAGTGGGAAGAGGGAAGTTTTAGTGAAAAATGACTACATTAAAATAGAAGATTTTATATAAACAACATAACTTTATGCCTCAATAGAAAAATAAACCATGCCCAATGTTAGAAGGTAGGAAATAATAAAGATTAGAGCAGAAATAAATCAAATAGAGAATAGTAAAACACCCTATTCCACCATCTCACTAACAACAGCCTGTTTTTTCAAATTTATGCACATATTGGGTTTTCTTTTTCTAATTTCTTAAAGCAGAAACAGTGAGTTGATATGCAGTCTATTCTATTATATCTATATAATGGTAAAATTTCCCTCTCAGCACTACTTTAGTATCATCTTACAAAATTTTATTTAGAATGTTTTTCTTATCATTCAATTCAAAAGACTTAATATGTTTTTATTTATTTCTTTTTTATTTTTTAAGTAAGCTCCATACCCAGTGTGGAGCCCAACACCAGGCTTGAGCTCGCAGCCCTGAGATCGATACCTGAGCTGAGAACAAAAGTCAGATGCTCAACCGACTGAGCCACCCAGGCGCTGCTTTAATGTCTTTTTTTTTTTTTAAGATTATATACTTTAATTCCATATCCTGAGTGTTTAATATTCCAAGTATCCCATGTCCAGTCTACTGGGTGCCCCAAGTGAAGGAATAAAATTACCAATTATGAAAAAATATATACTTCATGTTTTCCCCTTTGATTTCTTCTTTATCCATGGACTAGTCAATAAATAAAGCTGATTTTTGTGAAGAGACCTGGTAACTGACAGGAGTCTTCTTTATTGTTTCAAGTTAAGTTATACATAATTTGAGGATCATCATTTTGGTCTTAGAAGATAAATGAATGTAATGTGTTGATCTGTGTCAGACTCATCGAACTCCATGTATCCATATGGTTTTAAGCACCCAGTTATGATGACAGACATTTCAAATTCTCAGAGTTGTGATAGCTATGGTAACAAATTCTCTGAGATCATCACCTGATCTGAGATACCCCAGTTAGTTAACTAAATGCTGGGGTTGTTAAAGAGATCCTGAGTACACAATATATATTATTTTTTATCATTTAGAATTGTAGCAATAGCTACGATTCATTAAATGATGATTCTGGTCCAGTTCTTTTTTTTTTATTCTTTAAATTTTTTATTGTTATGTTAATCACCATACATTACATCATTAGTTTTTGATGTAGTGTTCCATGATTCATTGTTTGTGCATAACACCCAGTGCTCCATGCAGAACGTGCCCTCCTTAATACCCATCACCAGGCTAACCCATCCCCCCAACCCCCTCCCCTCTAGAACCCTCAGTTTGTTTCTCAGAGTCCATCGTCCCTCATGGTTCGTCTCCCCCTCTGATTTCACCCTCTTCATTCTTCCCCTTCTGCTATCTTCTTCTTTTTTTTTCTTAACATATATTGCATTATTTGTTTCAGAAGTACAGATCTGTGATTCAACAGTCTTGACAATTCACAGCGCTCACCATAGCACATACCCTCCCCAATGTCTATCACCCAGCCACCCGATCCCTCCCACCCCCCCCCACTCCAGCAACCCTCAGTTTGTTTCCTGAGATTAAGAATTCCTCATATCAGTGAGGTCATATGATACATGTCTTTCTCTGATTGACTTATTTCCTGAGTACACAATATTTAAAACAAGTGCCTGGAAAGGATCCATTGCCAGTATCGTTCTGGCATGCTGTAGGATTCCAGATCCACTAGACAAACAAATTTCTAATAATCTCCTAGAAGGGATTCTGAGCATTCTAAATTTTGCTTCTTCATTCCAAAAAAAAATTTTAATGAACTATCCTGATTTAATATCTTTGGAAACTCATAGCTTATTTTCTCTGTCACAAGAATTTGGGTGATTTGGATTTTCTGGGTTTTCATTTATAAGTGACTCCTTATTTTTTATATTGTTACATTATTTGAGTCTTTATAAAAATGCTTATTTACATGCTTATCTTTTCCTTATACTGTCTCCCTTTCAGAAAGATGTTTAAAATCAGATATAACAATTGAAAATGGATTTTTTTCTGAATATGAATTTGCATATCCCTTGAATAAAGAAACACAATATCAGTGTAAATCAGGATATGTAACACCAGATGGTAAAACTTCAGGATCAATTACATGTCTGCAAAGTGGATGGTCACCTCAACCCACATGTATTAGTGAGTAATTTTATGTTCATATTCATTATCCTCATTATCGTTGTGCAAAAGTTTATTTTAACTTAATTCTTTTCTGGGGGGAGGGACTGACATGGTACCCATTTGAAAAGATAAATGAAAAAATATATAATTTTTTTACAATTAAGATTAATCACTTGTAGGGTGGAATATCAGTCTATCTTTCAGTTCAAGTTTTCTTCCACTTTAAAACATCCTGTGAGGGCGCCTCGGTGGCTCAGTCATTAAGTGGCTGCCTTCAGCTCAGGTCATGATCCCGGGGCGCTGGGATCGAGCCCCATGTCAGGCTCCCTGCTCCTCGGGAAGCCTGCTTCTCCCTCTCCCACTCCCCCTGCTTGTGTTCCCTCTCGCTGTGTCTCTCTGTGTCAAATAAATAAATAAAATCTTTAAAAATAAATAAATAAAATAAAACATCCTGTGATTTGGAAACTAGATAGGAGCCTTCTGTGTGTTCTCCTATAAACTCATTTATTTTCGGCTGACATCTTTGTCCCTATTGTACCTGTTTTTAGGTGATTAAACCTTTATGTCAGTCTTTTTTCCTAGACATAAAAGTTATGTTTTTAAGTCAAGATCTGGGTCCATAGTGCATAATTTTAATTTAACCTGTAGAATTTACATGTTTGATGGTCCAGGGTAGGTGCACTTCTAAAAAATCCTCTCCCTTAGGAAATCTTCATAAACATCTCATTAGTGGAGACAGAAATGTTTCTAGATAGTACCAAATGCAGCTGTATTGAAAGATTTCCCTATCCCTAGATATCTATGAAGATTTTCCAAGAACGATTTGCTCAGTTTATCTTATACTCTAAAGCTACACAGTGATATTTTGAACTGATATTTAGCATATTCACTTAAGTAAAGTGGATATTTGAATATCCATTTCTACTGTTTTCACTTCCTTATTTTCTTCAATTTCCATGCTTACTATGGACACTAGCCACAGGAAAAAAATGATAAAAGTTTTTATATTATCGAACTCATTTTATATTAAATTGTAATCAGTTATCCATTAAAACACTCTTATTATTGGGAAGAGAAAAATCTCTCTTTTTTTCACTAGTTTCCTTTCTTTTTTAAAGCTTTAATGTAGCTGGCTACATAACACAGTATATTTGAGATGAATTATTTAAACCTTTATTAACATCATTCTAGTATAGTGTTAGCAAAAATTGAGACTTTTAACACTTTACCTTCTTATAACAAATGATAAACAATAGAGTTATCTCTCTGTTCAATCTTGGTAAGTTTAAAAGAATACACAGCCATTAGGAATACACTTGGGTAAAAAAATCAGCATATGAGCTTTAGAAATTATTATGTTGTAGAGTTTTATAGAATGCTTAAAAATTTACTTGCATTGTTGAAAACTAATCTTATTCGACTAATCTGGCCTATTTGTCACACTGCTAATGAGTATGTCATCTTAATTCTCAAAATGCTATTCTGCTTTGCTAGAAAAAGTATGATACATCTGTAATGGCCTATTTTATTACAAGCATGGGATAAACACATAAGTATAATTGATTGAAAAAAGTATTCCTAGAATAAATTTTTCACAGTGTTTAAGTGATAAGAAAAACGCTGTGTAGAAACATATTTTTTCATTTTGAGTAACTTTTTCAGGACGATGATTTATCACTGGTAGTCTTATATTCTTTTAATATGATAATTTATTAGCACATACTAATTAATAAAGCTGTTTTTACCTCCCTGGGATGAGACTTAATTACGTTGTCCATTAAATAATATTAGAAATGAAACCTTCAATTGTATTATGCATTAGAATCTTGTGACGTGGCAGTATTGGAGAATGCCAGAATCAAAAGCAATGGCACATGGTTTAAACTCAATGACAAGTTGGACTATGAATGCCATTACGGATTTGAAAGCAGAGATGGGCGCACAGGTTCCATAGTGTGTGATAACGATGGTTGGTCTCATACACCAGCATGTTATGGTAAGTGCTGTTTTTTCAGGTATGCTTTTTTTCAGGATTGACAAAATTAATAAAATGTGTTTAAAATATTCCATTTTGAACAAATTTGCATTATTTAAAGTCATTTTTAAGAAATAATGACTAAAATCAGGTGTCTCCTAATTTAATGTAAATTGGGAGAACAGGGTGTTTTAAAGCCCAAAGACAATACTCTAACACGGTACATTAATGTTTCCTATGGGCCATATACATGATAGATTTGTAAATAAAGTATAATTGTACTTGTTACTCTAAATGCAGGCTTTCATATTATTTAAAACGGGTTTCTTTTAGTGTATGGTGTAAGAAAACCAAAATTATACTTTCTTATAATTTCCTCAGCTATTTTGCTCCTGAGTTTCTGCTTTTACACCTTCTACCTTGAGTGTTAATTTCTTCAGATCCCAAAAGCTCTTCCTTTTCTGACTTTGACAAGTTCTGTGGACAATTATTACATGACTCTCTTTCATGTTTGGGATCCACTATTTTCCAGGAGGTGGAGTAGGACTTGAATCTGTGGGAACCTTGAGTGGATTTAGAGTGTTCCACGCCAAGGGAACAGTATGTGCAATACTTTGACAACAAAACAATGTTTGGGAAATATCAGGGTGAGCAGATTCTACTGAAGATGTGGGAGAATTTTATGAACTGATGCTGGATAAGAGGCAAAGAAAGGATTATTCAGGTTATTTTCAAGGCATGTCAGCATTTAGATTAATTTTATGATTGATAAAAAGCCATAAAGAAGACTTAAGGAAAGAAAGAATATAACTGTATCTAGATTTTTCGAAAAGTTTTTTTTCATATGTTGTGCTTGTGGTAAGGAAGAGAAGATTCAGGAGCTTATGCAGGGTGAGTAAGTGTGGGGATGGGGATAGGGTGATGGCTGACGAGATGCAAAGCAGAACGTATTAGAGATCTAGTTTGTTGGTAGAAAACACAGCTGATGTTTCCTAAATATTGGACGCAAGAGAGAGTAATAATCAAGCGATTCACAGCTTGTTTTAAATTTTTTTTCATAAGCAAGCAGGTAAATGGCAATGCCTTTTTGTAAGGTGGTGCTGACAGAAGGAACACTTTGGGAGGAACATCACAACTTTTGACTTGAGCACATTATGGTTGAGCTGCCCATGGACAATCAAAATTGGATATGTAAACTACAGAGTTGAATATATGGATCTAGCCAAGAGATATATATTTGGAATTATCACCCAATAAATGATATCAAATTGGAGAAGAATACAGAATAAAAAGATAAGAGAGCTCAAGATTGAGCCCTGAAGCATTCCAACGTTTAGGTGTCGGGCAGAAGAGAAATAGGTGGCAAATAGAAAAAGGAGGACCCAGACAACAGGGAGAAGAAAACATTTTGGAATGACTTCTCATAGATGTGGAGAGAAGAAAATGATTAAAAGATAAGGAAGTATAAGTGAATCCTGTGGAGTCAGCCTGGTCAATTCCATCATTTACTAAATTCCAGTTCCATCATTTACTAAATTCCAATTCCTTCATTGACTAAACATGTATCTTAGGGCAACAACCAAGCTTATTTGAAGCTTTGTTTACTCTTCCTCATCTGTAAAATGTTTTAATAATTATAAATGCTCTAATATGTCAAAGGATTGTTTTTCATTTTAGTATGATTCTAATATTTAAATTCCAGTTTTTAATTTTATAAATTAATTAGCAAGGTGGGAGGGTTCCAAATAAGAAAAATGCATTTTTTATGACATTTAAGAATGTCATGAATGTCACAAATGTCACAAACTTGACAAATTTGAAGGGATAATTTTACATATTCCTAATTTGAATCAGAATAATTAACAATATATTAATAGATGGTATAAATTATAAGTACAACAAGAATAGATAGTTGTATATTATATAAATATTCAGGACACCTAGAATATGCCTAGTTATGTGGCCATGAACATGTTTCTTTATTTTGTTTCATGTTTCAGTTTATGATTCAGTTTGATTTCTTTACTAATATAACTAATATGATATACTATGAATTAAGCAATTTTAATAGTTTCTTTAAAACACATTAGAAATGCCTTGCATGTGTTCTGGTTCTCCAGTTATATTTACAATAAACAAAAATACCAATTCTTATTTGAGTGCAATTTTAAAATTGTAGCATCACTTTATTTTTTAATGCAAGAGAATACTTTTATGTTTTGAGAATACAAAACAATATCACATTGTATTTTATAAATAAATGTCAGTTATAAAATCAGATCCAGTATAAGCAAGTTGACATTACAAATACATTTTCAGGATACATATATTGCTATTCAATGCCTTAATATTTCTGAGTCCCTATGAGTTTAGAAGGTGTGTAAAATCTAATATGTAATATTTTTCAAGGAGAAGGATTTATCTGATGCCCCTCTGTATATGCAGTACCCAGCACCTCATTTTTACAAGACACATATAAAATTTACTTTGGTGATGATTAATTATATAGTCTCACTAAATTATTTGACTTTTTTATAGAAACAGAATGCAAGGTTCCCCAAATAGAAAAATACTTAGTTCCTGAGCCCAGAAAAGACAAATATAGAGTTGGAGACCTGTTGAAATTCTCCTGCAGACAAAGACTTAAAAGAGCTGGACCAGATTCAGTTCAGTGTTACCATTTTGGATGGTCCCCTAATCTTCCAACGTGTAAAGGTGAATATCTATATTACAATTGCTAAAACAAGAATTAGGAAGTCAACTTTTATTTTCACTCTTAATTTTCTGTTGGCTTCGAGTGTGTCTATAATCTAGTGTGTTAAGCCAGGACGTGTTGGTTAGTAGATACCTCAACTTCCTTATGCAAACAATTAATCTCCAATTGTTTCTTGAAATATGTAGTGGAAGTATGCATAGATACATATATGATGTCTCACCCTCTTTTGTTATTTTTCCTTTTGCCTACAGTTCCACCAATAATATTTGACACTTTGTATAGCATGGGCCTTATCTCAAGTTTCACTGAGAGTCTAAACAATATTCAAGCAACTTATAGTCAATTCAATCACATGTATGGCTTAATCAAAGTTAAAACATCTTGATCAAATGTTTGCCTCAAACAACAGCATTTTTTCAAACAGTTTTAATAAAATGTTTCCATGGAATATGAATATTGCTATAATTTACACAACCACATTTATTAACTGGTTTGCATACATCTTTAGAATATCTAGATTATTAAACATATTTTCTGGGCTTAAATATACTTCCAATACACTAGTTCAGTGTAAGTAATAGAAGTGGGAAACATAATTCTGGTGTAAACACCACTTGCTTTTCATTGTTTAAGAAAGCTATAATAAATTATATTATAAATTATATAAATTAATTTTTTAACTCTCTATTTTATGGATATTTAAATTGTTAAAGTAGATAATTTAACCATTATTTACACAGTATTTCTCTTGTAGAGTGAACAAAACGGTGTACTCCACCTCCTCAACTCCTCAATGGGGAAGTTAAAGAAACAGAGAAAGAAATCTATGAACACAATGATTTGGCAGAATATGTTTGCAATACTAGATTTCTGATGAAGGGTTTTAATAAAATTCAATGTGTTGATGGACAATGGACAGACTTGCCTATGTGTATTGGTAATGTATAAAAAGTATTCATATTTATCTGTTTTTGTACCAGTACCATACTGTCTTGATGATGACAGCTTTGTAATAGAGCTAGAAGTCCAGAATTGTGATGCTGCCAGCTTTGCTTTTCTTTTTCAACATTCCTATGGCTATTCGGGGTCTTTTCTGGTTCCATACAAATTTTAGGATTATTTGCTCCATTTCTTTTGAAAAAAGTGGATGGTATTTTGATGGGGATTGCATTGAATGTGTAGATCGCTCTAGGTAGCATTGACATCTTCACAATATTTGTTCTTCCAATCCATGAGCATGGAACGTTTTTCCATTTCTTTGTGTCTTCCTCAATTTCTTTCATGAGTATTTTATAGTTTTCTGAGTACAGGTCCTTTGCCTCTTTGGTTAGATTTATTCCTAGGTATCTTATGATTTCAGTGCAATAGTAAATGGGATCAACTCCTTAAGTTCTCTTTCTTCTGTCTTGTTGGTGTATAGGAATGCCACTGATTTCTGGGCATTGGTTTTATATCCTGCCACTTTACTGAATTCCTGTATGAGTTCTAGCAGTTTTAGGGTGGAGTCTTTTGGGTTTTCCACATACAGTATCATATCATCTGCAAAGAGAGTTTGACTTCTTTGCCAATTCAGGTGCCTTTGATTTCTTTTTGTTGTCTGATTGCTATGGCTAGGACTTCTAATACTATATTGAATAGCAGTGGTGATAGTGGACATCCCTGACACGTTCCTGACCTTAGGGGGGAAGGTCTCGGTTTTTCCCCATTGAGAATGATATTCGCTGTAGGTTTTTCATAGATGGCTTTTATGATATTGAGGTATGTACCCTCTATCCCTATACTC